GGGAGGAGTTTAGGGTTTAGATATACCTAAAGAATCCTGATTCCCCAGGCTTGGTGTAACTACTCTGAGGGCCCTCCTTACACCACAGCAGTAGAGTCATCATGCAGAGAATTAGGCATCCTCAGGTACACAGATTGCAAGTCCCGCTATGTTGGGAGCAAATGCTGAAGTCTGGCCAATGCCGGGGGATAGAATCAGATTTATTTTATGGCGGCCCTTTGTACAAAAACATTATCTACCAACAATAAAAGTTCACTGCAGCATGACCCCCAATAAGAGTCTACAAGTCCATGCAGACCAACAGCCCGAGCATGCATCAGTCCTAGTAATAAGGCGGCTGGTGTCAGGAGGTTCCGCTTTGCAGAGCAGCGCCATTGACAACTAATGAAAAGTTCTGCAGCAGCTGAAATTTTTAAAGAGCATTGGCGACCTGGCTCCTGGGATTTGTCCAGCCTTGCGGTAGTGTAAAAGCAAATGCAGCGAGTCAATGGAACCTGCACTGAATTCTGAATGATCTCAGAAGAGTCTCCCAACGGATGTCAATAACACGGTGCATCTGCCCATCAAAGCCCGATGACACGGGCCCTTAATAAGTCGGCCGATAGCGAGCAGCGGCAACTTGTATGTATTTCGCAAAACACAAAATTCCTCATTAGAAGACACAGAGCACACAGCGACAGTGCCTATAAACCCCATACCCACCACCAGGGGCCGGGAGGACATTACAGGCATAGGTCACTCGTTCCTGCTTCAGATTGCATAGATGGCGGCCATTAATGTTCCCCCTTTATCCCCCACTGAGCACCAATGTCCTCCCTTTATCCCCCACTGAGCACCAATGTCCTCCCTTTATCCCCCACTGAGCACCAATGTCCTCCCTTTATCCCCCACTGAGCACCAATGTCCTCCCTTTATCCCCCACTGAGCACCAATGTCCTCCCTTTATCCGCCACTGAGCACCAATGTCCTCCCTTTATCCGCCACTGAGCACCAATGTCCTCCCTTTATCCGCCACTGAGCACCAATGTCCTCCCTTTATCCCCCACTGAGCACCAATGTTCCCCCTTTATCCCCCACTGAGCACCAATGTTCCCTCTTTATCCCCCACTGAGCACCAATGTCCTCCCTTTATCCCCCACTGAGCACCAATGTTCCCCCTTTATCCCCCACTGAATAGATATTTCTGTGACCACCAACACTGGGCGATTTTTCCTCCCACAGATGGCGGACATTTTTGATGCCAGGTATTCACGTTGCCTTGATCTGCACTACAAGTCATCTTTCAGCTGCCTATACGGTCACATGTAGATTGCATAGTGCTGGCTCCAATCTCTGGGTGACATCAGTCCGGGACTGACATATGCATATACAGTCCTTGCCAAAAGTTTTGAGAATGACACAAATATTCATTTTCACAAAGTCTCCTGCTTCAGATGTTACTCTGGTATACCGACGTATAACTTATTTTTCGCTCCATAAGACGCACTTTTCAATCCCCAAACGGCAGGCAACAACGTCTGTGCGTCTTATGGAGCGAATGTGTGACAGCTGAGGCGGCGGGGCTGACAGTGTACCCAGGGGTGTGGAATTCCTATCGCCCCGACCATGCAGTTTCGGGCGCCGGACGAGTAGTTTTTTTTTTTTGTACATTTAGCCCTGCTCATGACAAGCAGAGCTAAATGTATCTTGTGGAGCCGCCGCCGCTCGTTTTCATACAAGTGATCTGATTAGAACACTTGTATGAAAGGAGCAGCGGCGATCCTGTCCGCCCCCCCCCCCAGATCACCGAGACCGTGGTGCTGTAATCACAGCGCCACCTGTCTCAGCTGTCAGGAACTACACAGAACCATTCCTAGGTGCGTCTTATGGAGCAAAAAATACGGTAATTACAAGCATTTCATAAGTGTCAGAGGCACTATTACTGACAATTAGATTGTAAGCTCTCAGGGGCAGGGCCCTCCTTACCGTCTTGTGATTGTAATATCTTATATTGTAAAGCGCTGCGCAAACTGTTGGCGCTATATAAATCCTATATAATAATAATAACATTAGGTTTATGCAGAGCCAACCCGTCTTATTCAAGACCTCTGCAATTCCCCCCGGCATGCCGTCAGCCAACTTCTGGGCCACATCCTGACTGATGGCTGCCCATTCTTGCATCATCAATGCTTGGAGTTTGTCAGAATTTGTTGGGGG